CATTTTAATGTTTTTGCCGTTTACACAAGCTAAACAGTCACACAATTGATTTAGTATCAATACAAATATGTATTAAATAGAAAAAAAAATGTATTAAAGTGGTTTATTGCATAATATTAATATTTTTTTATATTATGGAACCTATATGACATTAGGCATTCACTTATAGATATTTGTGAACCTATATGAACAGGTTAAAGTATCGGGTTTCGAGGAAATAGAGTCGCGACACTTGTACATTTAGTTTAAAATATTTTACTAAAAAATATTATTTTATAATGAGTTGTGATCTCTCGCTTGTTAATTATATTATATATAATATATAAGGCAAGCGTGAGAATCATACATTTCATAGTAAATTACATGAATGCCACAGTGCACTAAAAATAATTCGCTATGATTCATGGTTCATTCAGAAATGGAGTTGAGTGACGCAGCTTTTATGGCAGTTATCGCGACGATAAAGGCAATTCTACGAATTTATTACATTATAGGCTTAAAATTTCATGTGTAGACTTGCATAATATTACTTTATAATTTATGTAGACAGTCTAAACTGATATATGTGTATAGAATTTATTCAAAAGTTTATTTCATTCGTCAGAATCTGTTTATATAGTAAATATAGTAACACACGATACAGCTGTAGTAAGATTATGGTAGTATTATCCACAGATTGTGTATAGTATATTATTGTTTTACCATCTTCATAATTATAAGAGTAAGGCATGAAGATTTTTATATAGAACTGTCAGGTAAAATAAGAATATTTTAGAACTTTTCTTTGTTTTTCAATCGATATAAACATAATTATTTACGTTTGAGCATCCATAACAAATCTTCAAAATATTTGACTTAGCCGGTCAATGGCTACATTTGATTACTTTCGGTACACTAACATCACTTGACGTCAGCTGTCGGCTCATCAATGGTGGTGTTGACGTATGATCGGTGATAATCAGTTGTTATTTTTTAATAATATACCTGACCTCTTTTAATCTTATTACTTCCTGTAGCTTTATCTACGTGGATCTCTCTTTTCTTCTGTTTCCGCGAGAATTAAAAAAAACATCTTTTTATGTTAAGATTAATATATTACAAAAAGATATCAATATATTAAGAACTTTCAAAAAAGATATAAATCTGGTAATTACATGCCCAATTAAAAATACTTAGATTAATGATATCTTGATAGAGCATCTAAGTATAAATGCTTTAATACAAATAGCTTAACTTTTATAGAAATATTATAATAATTTTAATATCACTTTGTATACCTTGACAGTTGAGCGTTGTTCGGATATTTTCATAAAATAAAAATAAATAATATTCAAGGTTATCACTATTCACTATTCTTGTGATAACACAAAAAAGTAGTATATCATTAAAAAAAAAGTAGTTGCTACGCTCTTACAATGTCAAGGTTATAAAGTCGGCGGGAGCCGCAGAGTCTAAGTAGATAATTAGTCATAAGTAAGATCAGTAACCTGTAGTAGAAAGTGTAGAGAAATGAAATTAAATTATTTTTTAGTTTAAATTAATAATAGTGATAAAAGTGTATATTTTATTTTTTACAAATTTTATAATTAGAATGAAATAAAGATATTGAAGACAAATCTACGAATCTACATTCTTATTAAGGACCTCGATATTATCGAACAAATTACATTCATTAATATATTCATACATTCATGAATTATACGAATAGAATGCACCAAGATGCGGGCTAGATGCGAAAGTCAGCAGTGGAGCTTTACTGCAACCCAAGAGATTAACGTTGCGCTCGCGCAGGCTGCTTTCGCCAGTGAAATAGCTATAATTACTACAACACAACCGCCAGTCCGTCCGACGAAACACAAGCGAGAATATTGTATTATTATTATGAGTCATAATATTGTCATAAATATTTTTAGAACATTGCCTTATAAATGTAATGAAGGTATGCAAATGGTAGTATGTACCTACCTACGCGGTGCCAATTATCCATTTTATTGGTTTGCAGTATACAATTAATCAATGTACCGCTGTTCTGATTCACTTTTGTAAATCTTGCATTCCTTTGTAAATTAGAAATGACGAAGAAGTTGTATATGTAACTAAAATTATTTATTATGATAGAAGTACTTGTTTTAATGTGCTTTATATATATTCAGATATAAAAGGCATTGTAGGTATCTGTATAATTAAGTAGAAACCGTAATATAACCTGTTCTTAAATTTTTGGAACGTTTATGTCCCTTTTGAGCGGCAGCATTCTGGTAACAGCGAAATTGGCTAGAAAATTTAGTACGTGTCGCCAGTTAGACGTCGTCTCATAAATCGACGTAATGATCTGATTCAAGAATCGATAAGTCGTATCGATGTCGAGAAACCGCTATCGATAAAGGTGCTATGACGGATAATGGTTGAATTTGTGAACACAGCCAATAATACAAGAATTTGGAATCACTTAGTGTTTAGTTACAAGGAGCAGTCTATCGTAAATACTTATACAAGGAATATATTTAATGAAGAGATTTTTTTTATACAACTTAGAATGGCAAACAAGCTGACGGTCCACCTGATGGAAAGTGATAACCGTCGCCTATAGACATGAGCAATACCATGGACATAACAGAGTATACTGTTTTGCCCATGATACCCCCCATGCGTTGCCATTCCTGAGGACTCAGGTGTTATTCCTCTGTACCCAATAAATTCACGCCATATCCCACCCTTCAAACCGAAACACAGCCATGCAAACACAACTGCTTCACGGTTGAAATATGAATGGGACAGAGGTACCCAAGCAATCGACTATATTTGATAAATGATTATAACAATAATTGTTACAAATTTTTATATACGTTACTATAAATGTCCATACATAAAATGTTACGTATTTTTAAAGATAATATAAATGTAAGGATTTTATAAAAAAAAATTTTTTTGGAACTTTAACTAAACAAAACCTAACCTAACCTACCCATCTAGCAATGAGTATGACACCTCCTTACTAAACAATTACATCTGGGATAATAATCGTACGTTTTTCTTGTTAATCTCGAAAAAATACTACTTGTTAAATGGCAAAAAAAAAGGATAAAACATTCATCAAATATTGATTTTTAAGCAAGGTAAAAGCTTTGGTTATATCAGTCGGGATATCTAGACCTATTTCTTGTCTATATCAGGCATGTAGATCCTCAGTAATACAATATCATAAATAACAAATAATCACATCATAGGTAATTATAACGAGGTTGGAGAAGCAGCTTCTTCAGTGTCGCTTTTCTCTAGCATTAGAACACCATCCCGTCTAACCTAAAGTCTCCAAAAAGGATTCTAAGAGCGGATTTTAAGCGTTGATTTCAAATAAATCAAACAATTTTTTGCATTTAGATTTGCTGTGTTCCTGTTACTTTATTTACTTTTATAACTGAACGACTTCAAAAAGAATTAGTGTTTATTCAGATTATTTATAAAAAAAAAATGTGAATACATAAGAGATTATTTCCTGGGCTTGTTTTCTTATTATAGAAGAATATAAGCTAACTATTGCCTTACTATTATATTGCCCAAGTAACTTAATATTATTTTTAGTTGTTTTTGTTGTTGCTTGCACTATTTATATTATACAACATCATAGTCTTGCTTTATAATAAAGTATTGCCTTATTTATCTTACAAAACATCATAGCCTAGGGATGAAAGGTATTGGTGACAAATTGCATTCTTACTCTTATCACCAACCGACTACATGGAAAGTAATAACTACTATAGTGATATAATTTAAAACAGTATTTGAATAGTTAATCATTTATTATCATATAATTGAACTGCCTAATATGAATGTCCATATGTATACGTGGGCGGTTATGTTCGTTTGTACTTACTATTTCATTGAGAACCACCCGGGGTCATCAGTTCAATGACGCCCCATAGAAAATAGAACCACCCGTGACTCACGTTATAAAATTTGTTTTTGTAGTCAACAGGTTGTTTGTTCACATTTCTTAGTAATTGGTGGTGTTAGTTATGGTATGCGGTTTATTCTACAATTTATTATTAAGCAACTAGCAATGTTATATATATAAGACTTTTCTATAATTAATTAAATGCTCTTTTAAAGTGAATACATTTGGTTGTCTACTAATAAATAAATTTTTGTTCTACTAAATGCTCTATGTTGTTTTATGTGATTTATTGTAATGAAATATAAAGTGTAGCAATTCACGTCGGTGCATACAATAACTACCTATTATTACTGGGCACGCGTTCCTTCGATGATCATCGGCAAGAGTAGATGAGAGCGACCCACATCAGCCAGAGTACGTGAGTTGGCCACTGACCAAAAACATACAATATTTCTCGTTACGTTGTCGACTCACTGCAACGTGTGTACATGCGGATGTAAATATTTCGATGTTTAAACATAATGTAATGCTTTATTTTTGCATTACATATGAAAGTTTTAGTTACTCACCATGGAGTATTTGAAGGATACATTCGACCTTCACTCAAAATTGAAAATCTACTTAGTAACAATTGAGATGAGTTCAAATATACTGATATATATGAAATAGAAATTTTAAAAATTATTCTAGTAAATATATTATTGACCATTCTTTATGGCAGTCTATGAAGGAGGTGTATGTCTAACAGTGGACGGAAATTAATGAAAAAAAAAACGCTTTATTGAAATAATTATGATAATGAAATATATTATTATATTTATACTCGTAAGTAGACTACTGAACAAATTAGATTGTTGTCAAATATCTATACAATTATAAAATGAGATATTTAATAAAAAAATGTATTTATCATAATTAAAGATGTTTTAAATATAATGATTAAATGTATAAATGAGTATACTTTATTTGCATTATACAATATAAAGTTTAAAATTTTATTTCGTTCATCGTGTAAATAGAGGTGTGTATTTTGTATCATTCCTTAGGTATCGTATTTCATAGCAGATTCGACAGAAATTGAATATCATATCATATCAAATTTCAGATTATGGAGTGGTTTCTCCTGATGCATTGCTATAATAGGTATGTACGTCTGTCTGTCTAGGTACTCACACTTCACACGCCAAACAAGGACAGGGAATTTGACACTTATATTACCTACCTACACCAGCTGTTTCCATTTCTTGAAAAGTAAAACCATGTATATACTTGTAATTAATTATGTTAAGGATGTAATTGAAAACTGTCTCCAAACAACAACACAGTAGTCTAGTTGATGTTTTCTTATGACTAATTATTCGAAAATATACACATTATAGTAAGTAAATATCATTAAAATTACATAAGAGATAATTTGATAATAAAAAAAATTAATTATACTTACAAATGAATTAAATGTAAAATAATCTATTATAGAAGTAGCATAGACTTATATTTATTATATTAGAATTATATTATTATTATTTTAGTAGTTAACCTTCCCCATAAGAGGAGTTTTGTCAGTAGTTGCCACGCTTGGCAGGCAGGTTGGCAAAAACAGTTAGGCGCAGATAGAATTACTTACGAAAAATTTAAATCCATTACGACTTTAATATTGAAATAGAATCTATGTAATAATATTACAGATAATATACAAAAGATACATTAAAATTATAAACTTATTTATAATATACTAAATCGAAATAGTCTCATTAAGCATAATTTATAAACACATACACTTGAATTTGTCCATATTCTTAACGTTGAATGATACAGTTATATAAAATATGTATTAAAAACATAGCATTACAATAATCAAAGCAACACTGGGCGGCTTTATTGCTAATTAAGACTTATTTGTATTTAGATTACTCAAAAATATTGTAATGACGGTCCATGCACCTAGATGATCTTATTTAAATGTCACATGACCATATCAACCAAGTAAATCTATATAAGGAAACAAAAAAAATGAGTGAATTGTAAAGACTAACAAATACACCTACATCAGAATTACAGACTACTCAAAGTTAAACACATCTTAAGTACTTTTTCTATAGGTACTAAACGCTCAACAAGCAACGTTACTGGTAATCTGTATAGCTACCAGGATTAACATCGAAGAAATGTTTCCAATTATAGTAGGTGATAATAAGCCAATGAGAACATAGAATACTATTTACTCATGGAGAAAAAGTGGAGAATGAGGAGTGAAGTCATCATGAATATAAAACACCAGGCACAGGTTTTGTTAGATGCGACGTCTATTAGCTGCCTATCTGCAGTAGTGTGTACTTTTGGTGCTAATATTTCTTTTTAAGTTAGTTCAATACATCCGAATTGACTATTTAAATTTAAATTTCGAGTTTCCATTTAAGAGTAGAAAAAAGTTCAGTCAATTGACAAAAATTACAGGTAGTGTTTTCGAAAGATTGCGATGTAGCACTACTTACTAGTTTTCATATAGATTGAGTATTTGCATCATCTATCGCCACTGTATGGTGGCATCTGTATTCATTGAATTAGTATGTTTACGGCTCATTGAATTAAAAATACCTAGCATATAAATAGCCGTTGCAGTTATCTGTTGTTATATTTAGATCCTTTTGTCACGAATACTATTCTAAAGGTTATCTATTAAATTATGTAATTTGTAGACATTTATAAACATCTACTTTGTTGTAAATAGGTCTATAAATAGGTACACATATTTTAATACAAATAATTATCTATTCTACATCTCTATAATAATTTTTGTTTTAAATACTTTATTATCTTAAAGCTTTCAGTTTTGTTCGTTTGCAAAAATAACTAGACTGTTCGCGACATTATTTGTATATATCGTAATTTATAGTTGTTAAGTCCTAGTTAATCGTTTTGTATTCTGTTATTTTATATAGATTTTACATAGATTTAAGATAGTGTAAGTTAAATAAAGTATTCCTTTGCGTGTTGTCATTATTACCTACGAATAGAAATTGTAACAATAAATAGAATTAAGAAATTGTAAATTGCAATAAATAGACGCTATAGAGTACCGAACTGAAGAGACACGCGTCTCGTTCATTCTCGCCCCGTCCCGCTCGCACAGATCGCTAACGCGAGTTGGAAATGTTATCGTGCGAGCGGGCGGGTATAAAGATAGGCCGCCTCTCGTCGAGCGGCATTCGCTTCCGGGCAGCGACGCACTACACTCGAGAAGAAATAGGACAAGAAGAAAAAATACTCTCTTCAGACGGTACCGGAGGCTTCAGAATAGTAATCCCTGTGTTTCACTCCAGCCTGAACCAACGCCCCTACAGTCCACGCTCACCGAACGGCAGTCCACACCGTTCATCGTGGTCCTTCGAGAAGCCGGATTGCTGGAGGAACACCGTTGGTACATCGAGAAGCCGGATCGCTGGAGGAAGACCATTCTGAAGCCGGATCGCTGAAATGCCGACTACGAGAAACATGAAGTCGTCGCAACAAAAAATCGCCGTCACCGAAGCCACAACGTCCGCCGCCACCACGTCGACTACGGCCGCCGGAACGCTGTCCGTCGCTGCCACGCCGTCCGTTGCTGCCACCACGTTGTCTGCGGCTGTCAGAATGCCTTCTGTCGCTGCCACGTCGTCTACCGCCGCCACCACATCGACTACGAACACGTCCGGCGATACGACGACCACAGGAGCCACGGAGACTACCGAAGCCACAGGAACGACAGAGGAGACAGCAAGGAAGAAGGAACCGAAGCACGGCACGGCACGCACGGTTCGCACCACGGCCTCGCAGAAGAAGAAGGCTCTGGCCAAGGCACGGGAGGAGCTACTTCGAAAGGAGGTGGAATTGGCCGCCGCACGTGTCGCCGCCCTGGAAGCCGAATCAGAGGACGACGAGGAAGTAGAAGACGACGACGCTACCGTCAGAAGAGAACGAACGTCGGATTGGGTTCATCGAAGCACGCTAGCACTCACGATGGAGCCGCATGTACCAGAGATAGAAGAAGTCACCGGCAAGCGTCAGGGGTTCGTCCCATCGAGACCCGTTGAAGAGGATTCGAGAGCGCCGCCGCCACAGCCGAGCAGCGACGCACTTCACCGGGACCACGCACGCCACGTTGACCCACATGCCGCGATGCCTACGATAGCAGCAGCGATGCAGTCGATGAAGAAAGAAGAACCGGTGCTGAAGGTGGGCATCGATTGCAATGAGTTTGCGATCGCCATGCAGATGGCCGCTCGCAACATACTGCCCTCCACAGCGTCAAGAGTCACCGAGTTGCCAGTCTTCAATGGATCGTCGAGCGAGTGGTTACCATGGAAGATGGCCTATGAAGAGAGCGCAAGTCAACTCACAGAACAAGAGAACCTAGCAAGACTGCGCAGAAGCTTGAAGGGGCCGCGAAGGACGCGGCACGCTCCCTATTCGTCGGGTCTACGACCGCAGAAGAAGTAATGAAGATGTTAGCCGCGAGGTTCGGCCGCCCTGGAGCACTCGTCACAGCCGAACTGAACAAACTCCGCGCGCTACCACGACTCTCGGACAACGCAAGAGACGTCTGCCTTTTCGCAAGCAAGGTGCAGAACGTCGTCGCCACGATACGAGCGCTGAACAAGAGTCACTACCTCTACAACGAAGAAATAGTGAGAAACGTCACAGAGAAGATGCCGTCGGTACTACGCTTCAAGTACTACGATTTCGCCAACGACCAACCGGAGGGACAACCGGACCTCATAACACTCTCTCAGTTCCTGCAAAGGACCGCCGCACAATGTGGAAACTTCGCCCCCGCCGAGGAGATACCGTCCGAAGACCGGCGGGAGTCCGCTCCTAGGAAGACGGCGAAGACATACACGACGCAGGAGAAACCCGCTACACCACCGTGCCCGATGTGTCGACGAGAGGGACACGCTCCATCGGACTGCAAGACGATGAAGGAAGCAGACACATCGGCGAGATGGGAGTTAGCGAAGACTCATAGGCTGTGTTTCCGTTGCCTCAAAGTGAGAAGATTTCGTCACGCCTGCAAGAGCAAGAGATGTGGAGTAGATGAGTGCACGCAGACTCATCACCCTCTGCTGCACACCACGCGACAACAGCCGGAGAATGAAGTGACAACACACGTCGTCGAGGACAAGTCCGCCGCAGTCACCGCATCGGCAAGGGAAAACGACAAGATCGCGTTCCTGAAGATCCTGCCGATACGAGTCACCGGTCCCACGGGAACGTGCGACACCTACGCGCTACTGGACGACGGGTCGACTTGCACCATCATCGAGACGACGGTGGCGGAGCGAATCGGTGCTACGGGTCCCCCCGCACCATTCTACATGGAAGGTGTGGCCGGGGCACGGATCAACGCAGCTCAATCGACGCGTGTTCACTTCAAGATCCGCGGGCGGAATTCACAAGAATACACAGTGGGGGCACGGACGATGGACAGACTGCAGTTATCACCGCAGTCGGTACCACGCAGCGTCATCAAGGGCTGTCCACATCTGCGGGACATAGAGAGGGAATTGGTCTATGAAGAGGGCAAACCGACGGTACTGTTGGGGCAAGACAACTGGCACCTACTGCTGGCCCACGAAGTCAGAAGAGGATCCGACACGCAGCCGGTCGCATCACTCACCGACCTGGGATGGGTACTGCACGGTACGAGTCGCGGCAGGACAAGACAGCAGGTGCACAGAATCAGCCACATAGTGACGACACATGAAGAGGAACAATCGATGGAAGAAATGATGAAGCAACATTTCGCGCTCGAATCGCTGGGGATCGCACCGAAGAGGTCTTACAATGAAGAGGAACGTCGCGCCCTACGCATTTTAGAGGAGAAAACTCGTCCGTTACCGGCGGGAGGATACGAGACGGGGTTATTATGGAAGAAGGACGACCCTGTGCCGCCGGACAACTACGAATCGGCAATGCGACGTCTCCAACTGGTCGAAAGGAAATTCGACAAAAACGAAGAACAGTGGCCGCGTGAAGATAGTTCAAGCGACGATAGTCAAGCGAAAACGGGAGAAGAACGCGTACACAAGCTACAGAACGCGACGCAGTTGTCTATAGCATTACCCGATCCGTCACGTTTTTCTAATTGGTTGAAACTTGTTCGCAGT